TAAAAAATGAACAATTCAATTGCAAAAATCCCATAGACCGTGATAGGGATGTAACGATTGCCGGTTTGACGATAAATCGTGATAAAATACCCCACGGTTAGTATTACCGTTTCATATTTTAATTATCACTATAACCGTATTCGATTACCGCGATTTGAACAGCTGAGGATAAGTAAATACTGTACTGAACAGTGATCCAGTGTGCGAACAAATAGGCACATTTTGTGATAATTTTTTCTGCCGGTGCGACTAAATTTTGTGTGCGGTCGCACTGGCGCGACCGCCGCATTGTTTAACTCATAAGCGCTGCATTTCTGTTGCATATGAGAAACATCAAATGGCAAACGAAACTGAAAGCATAATGAAACCATGCTACTCGTTTGAACTGCGCAGCACTTCGAGTGTAGCGCCTGGTTTATACTCGCCGCATCAGCAGGAGCGCGAAGCTGTGTGTAGCAAAAATGACGCTAAAAAGTGAAATATGTATAGATGTAAGCAAATCAGACAATTATCTTTTCTTGTAAAACGTGACACCAAGACCGCGAATTCGAAAGTGAAAGCACCCTAAGCCCGGCTTATAACATAGCTAAAGAGAAACTCCCGTTCACAAAATTCAAATCACAAATAATACTGATGAAAAAGAAGGGGTTGAATGTTAACCACTTTCATTTTCATATAATTATAAACTATGATAAATGTTCATCAGCATGCACTGATTAATCCCAAAAAATTAAAATATTGTGACCAAATCATGTGCTGGTGTGACCAACTGAGAAAGTTAGTCGCAAAAGAGCGACCAGTGGGAAGAACTAGTCTGGAGCCCTGAAGCATAAAGCACAGTTTTAAGTAACAGTCCCACGTGCGCACAGCAGCAGAGTGGTTTAGTTTTGTGTGAAAACATGGAGGAAAAGCTGGGAGGTTTTAAAGAGTGCTAAGGGAATTATACAAATGAATATATGGATGAATTAATTATATGAATGTACCTCTGAAGATTCTGACTGTCTTGAGAAAAGATTTGATGGCATTTTGTTTTCGTCTTCGCTCCATGTAATACCTAATAAAGTAGTGTTTTAAGCGCAATGCTGTTTTGACCTCGGAGGTTACGGGAAACAGCTCTAATTATACTGTTCCTATAGCGCCACCTAGTGTCAGAGAGTGGATTTACAGAGAGTTACATTTACATTCAGCCTGTGTGCAGTTTTTGTCTGGGCCAAAAAATGGACCGAATTTGCATGCCCTGCTGTAAATTTTGACCGGTTGATGAAAAACACGCTTATGTGGATTCTACACATTTAAACAATAAGGTATCTAGTATTATTTATGGAGCAGATAAAATACATATAATCATTTATTAATCAAATATCATTCTGACTTAACCCTTTTCTTTCTTTTAAAAAGCTGAAATGTGAGGTTTACCATTTATGAAACTTTTTCAAAGCATTATTTGAACATTTACATTAGATATTTCAACATGCTATTAAACTGTTGTCAGTCAAGTTGTCATTTCAAATCCGAACATCATTGGCAATGTTATTGTTTTAGTTATGCAAACAAAAACTCACTTTATTTGTTGATTTTTTTGATTGTGTGTCAGTTCTTTTTGAACATTTCCAGCACATTTGAACAATACTGTGATAATACTGATAACCGTGATCATTTTGGTCACTATAATCATGATAAGAAATGTTCATATCGTTACATCCCTAGACTGTGACTTGTTGAGACCAGAATATACTAAATCTAGCTCAGGACGGTTTTGGTTAACATGCATCCCTAGAAAACTTTCCTCAGGTACATACCTGACCCTTTAGCCCTTGCTCTTTCAGTGTTTCAATATCATCTCTAGTCAGTTTCTGAGATCTGCCATCATCCACTATATGTCTGTTATCCTGGCCTGCTTCCTTAGAATCTGTGACAGGAGAAACACAATACCATCTCATCAGCAAGAAAATGAATGAATCCGCAGATAACGACATAAATCCACAGCACCATTTACCCAAAGAGTCTCCTGTGTGTTTTGCTGCTTTGAGTTTAAGTGAACCGCCGGCTTCGATTTCAAACTTGGTCCCGTACAGCTGCCCGACCGCATTGTCCAAGAAGAACCACTGCTTCTCAAAGATCACTTTCCTGAGAGACAAAATACACAACAAGTCAAAGCAAATGAGGTGAGCACAAGCACTTAAAGGGATAGTTCACCCAAAAATGAAAAATCTGTCATTTACTCACCCTCATGTCGTTCCAAACCTGTATGAGTTGCTTTCTTATGTTGAACATAACAGAAGATATTTTGTAGATTGCTGGTAATCAAACAGTTGGTGGTTGCCATTGACTTCCATAGTATTTTTTTCCCTACTATGGAAGTCAATGGCAACCACCAACTGTTTGATTACTAGCAATCTACAAAATATCTTCTTTTGTGTTCAACATAAGAAAGCAACTCATACAGGTTTGGAACGACATGAGGGTGAGTAAATGATGACAGATTTTTCATTTTTGGGTGAACTATCCCTTTAACAGGCGTGAAATGTGAATGTTAGACTTCGTTCTATGAATCATCACATTCAACAGATAAGCCCTCTAGACTAAACATATAGATTTAATTCAAGTTTCATTTGTTTGACTCACTTTTTATTTTCGACCTGCACTGATTTGAAGACATCTCCTCTCTTCAGCACTACATAGTCTCCGTAACTGATTCTGCTCTCAGCGTCACTGTCATTTCCACACTCCGCCATTTACTGCGATCGACGTGGATAAAGATCGACCGGAGGATATTTAGAAACTAGTTTACACTTTAACTAGCCCAACGCAAAAGTGGTAATGTATATGACTGCAAACAGAACAGTAATGTCACACAAGCGATGCTTCTTTCATCTTTCCCCACGTGTGTTCTTCTGTCACTTCCTGTTCCGAAAGGCCAGTTAATCGAGCGTTGATTTGATTTACAGAGCCACAGTCAGACAGGAAGACTAGCAAGTCCCAGATCAAAGCGATTTTAGTCAGTTAAAGGGGTCATATGATGCGATTTCAATTGTGGCCAATCAGAGCACACCTCGCTTTTCAGACCGATGAGCTTTGAAAAAATCGACACGTTTCAGAAAGGCGGGGCATAGAGGAGAAACAATAATGTACAGTATGTGGAAAATAATGTGTTTTTTGAACTTTAAACTGCATAAACACATTACACCAAGTACACAAAATAATGTTCTTTTTAGCAGTATCATATAACCCCTTTAAAAATAAACGTGTGTTTAATGCATAGACTGTATAAAAACATGGACGTAGTGTCTGTGACGTCACCCGTAGATTTCCGAAGAGGTTTTTGAAGCTCAAAAGTGGGCGGAGCCGGCCGTCGCCATCTTGGCAGCGCGTCACTCCCGGATAATCAAAAATGGGCAAAAAGGCGGGAGCAGGTTGCTGAAGCCACGCCCACCTAGCTAGACGGTGGTGACAGCAGCGGCAATCCACCTGTCACTCAAGTGGCCACGCCCTTAATTATGCAGAACTTTAAGGCTTAATATAATTTAAACGGATGGGTTATAAAAAAAAATCACCCCCCTCACAGTTGTCATGAAGGGCAGCTATATAGACCAAAATCATTTTTTGAACCAGGCTGTAAACATGTTTTTTTCTGCTGTAAAGTTAGGCATTTTAACATGGGGAGTCTATGGGATTGACTTCCTTTTGCAGCCAGCCTCTAGCGGCCAGTTGATGAATTACAGTTTAAGTCACTTCCGTGTTGGCTTCACGAGAGAGAGCGGGAGGTTGCCGCTTGGTTTAATGTATACTCTTCTTTATTGAAGTGAATTAACTTCACATTAAGTTTATACTAATAACAACTACGACCATGGACATGTACAATGATTATAGCATGGCATTATCACGTGATGTCATTTCTGTAGGCTGCCTCTGTACTTCATTTATAAGGGTAAAATAATTATGATAAGACCTTATCCTTACTAAAATATGAATACTTCCAACATAAAAGTGCAAGTATTACACGTACATTATGTATGTACAATACAGTTGTATCCCATTTGGTCCTATTATTAAAAACTAAAGGGTAAATTTATGTATGATTTATAATTTAAAAATCATATTCGGCACGTGTGACTACGTAGCAGGGTTACTATAGTGAACTAAAACTAAAACCATGAAGTACTTTTCGTTACTTCTTATTTTCATTTAATTTACATTTAAGTGCTACAATGCATAGACTTTAACAAATAAAACAGCAATTTTATTAAATAAATTAATAAAAACTATACTGACATATTTAAAAAAAACTAATAAAATTGACAAAAACACTACAAAATAACTAAGTAAAATTGAAAGGAAACAGAAAATGTAAAAATAAAAGCGAACTATAAAAACGATAAAAGTAGTGATGATACTTCAAACGAACTGCTATATTGTTTTTAAAAACATAAATAAAACAGCTGTTAAATATATTTTAAGTATAATAAATTGTCAGTGCATGATTACGAATTATGAAAAATTATGAAAGTCAAAATTGGACCTCATAATGAAAGTGATTGGATTTATTTAGACTATTGACTAGACAAATGTCACTGAACATGACGGACAAAAAAGTTGCAAAAGGTACTGTTTTGTACATGGAACTATAGCTTATGCTATCATTCAGTATGTGCATCAAATTAACATGGTATTATCATCTGTATCATAGTCATATCATGACAATACTTTGCAGTAAGGGTTGCCTCTGTTGAACTTTGAATGCTTTCAGCTATTTTTTTTATTAACCATGATTGTCTGAGTGTTTTGAATAACATGCCTTTTTACACAACATTTTTCTCAAATAAACTTTTTTTTAGCTTATTTGAGGACTATTTTGTATTATTTTTAAATAGTTTATAAGCTACGTTTCAACAGATTATTCATTAACAATTTGCATCATTTTAAAAGAAAAAAGACAAATCTGTAACATAATTAAAAAAAAAATTATTTATTTTTCTTGAGCAATTTTAATAATCTTAAACTTACCTAAACAATTTAAGTGTATCTTCCAGCTTTGGGATGTCGGTGATATCTTCCTGAGAAAGTTAAGAAAAAGTTAATACTCAAAAAAAGTTAATTCAAAAGTTTGCGGTCTCCAAGGCTGCATCGATTTGATCAAAAATACAGTACAAACAGTATTATTGTGAAATATTATTACAATTTAACAGAACTGTTTTCTATATATATATATATATATGTATTTTAAAAATGTAATTTATTCCTGTGATGCAAGGCTGAATTTTCAGCATCATTACTCCAGTCTTCAGTGTCACATGATTCTAATATGTGCTGCTTAATATTTTTGTGGAAATCTGATACTTTTTTATTATTTGATGAATTAAAAGTTTAAAAAACAGCATTTATTTGAAATAGAAATGTCTGATGAATAAAAGTAGTAATTTCTTACTGTAGTAATCTTACTGACCGCAAACCTTTCAACAATAGTTTCTAAACTTGGCTTAAATTTCAGCCAGATTGATTCTCGATGTAATAAACTGGATGCTGCAGAGTAATCTAAAATCAGTCTCTACATCTAGTTGTTACTTTTGAAATTAGTGCACAATCATCTGTCAAAACAGCTGATGCATCCCAAAAGCAGGCTGGATATCGATTTAATGTAAGTACCATTGTAAAGCAGGCATCTTCATGAAAAAAATCTAATCATAATGTCATAAAATCACCAGGATCTTATCAGCGTTTCGTCCTTCCAGGGTGAATTCTAAGTTTGAGAGCGCAGCCTCGACTTCATCAATATCTGGTTCGTTGGAATTGGTCAGTGGCTCCGTTGATAAGGTCAATTTACAGATGTGATACTAGAAAAGATACAAGTATTTTACATCTGAAATGCCAATTTAGATGTGTTACAATAAAACAGCTCTCATTTGGTTAGTCAATGACAAATGACACATTTCACCTTTCAATTTTAATATATGGGTAAAAAATAAATTGGGTTTTAGTGGATAATTACCAAGGTGCTCATTAAATAACTAATCAAGTAGGTTACAAACTTTCTTATATGCTAACCTCACAACTCTCATCCATTGTGGTTTTCAGTGCAATTACATTAACACTGCTTGAGACTTTTAATTAATGATTCAGCAGCAAATAATGTGGAAAACAGGTGGGAAAAAAATCCCTAAAATATCTGTGCAATGCATAGCGGCATAGTCATCTGAGAGGTAGTTTGTGAAATACTCGGTCTGCTCTTTCATGGATTTGTTCTAGATCTGCAGAAACACACGCTCGCTCGGTTTGGTTTGGTTTATTAGTGCCATGCTCACCTATACATTACCTCAATGTGTAATTGAATGCTATCTTGTGTTAGCTGTGGAATGTCACATCCTTTGTCCTCAAAGTAATTTATCTCATAGCTTCAGGTGAGAAAGTACGGCACTAAAGAATTGACTATAATTCAGCACCATCTATGCTATGTAATGCAACCAAATACTATGACACATACCTGTAAGATGAGCTAATCAGGGTTACAGTTAACTAAAAATGAAACCATAAATGCATCTATAAATTAAAGCAAATATTATAAAAAAATACTTTAATTCAGCTAGCTGCCAAGGCAACATTTCTCATTTTCATTTAGTTAACTTGATGTACTTAAGTAACTAAAACTGAGCAAAAAAACTATTAATGACCAAACAAAATTACTAAAATTTTAACTAAAATCAAAACAGAAAATATTTTAAAAAACAGTTCAAAATATTAAATAAAAACGATAGTAGTAGGCCTGGGCGATAAAACGGTATCGGTATTTAGTGACGGTATACCTTCTTCGATATCGATAGAAAAAAATGTTCAATATAACGCACGATATAGGCACGTGCTATGAGTGACGCAGACAGCACACACAAACACATGTTGAAATGAGTGCTGTGCCTGCCTGTGATGAGGAGATTGTGAATAAAGAATGAATATTAGTCGAATTTAAAATAAACATTTGCATTTGAATGTTAGGTGTGCATCAGGGAGCGTCATCAGTGGCTCGTGAGATACGGTGATGATCATGTAAGTGACGTTGTTGCATTTGAATGTTTTGTTAGTCTAGCCCACGAGATGCGCCACTGCTGCGTTATTCATTCAAAATATTAGAGAACTATAGAAGCTCAATGTGGAGAAGATCTTGATTAGGTTAAAACCGAAACCATGCCATTCACACAGAACGCATATTCAGTGCATTTTTTAGACGGACAAATAACTGCTGCACTCGCGTCTCACAAGAGATGTATTGAAAGCCATGCAAAGTTAAAACAGTTTAAACTTTTAGAAAACACGTCACAAATTTGTGGAGGTTTATTCCTTTTCACCGCGTCTCATGTTTTTAAATGCAGTCTGTGTGAATGGCGCTTCGGCTCTTTGGATTAAGCAATGCATAAACACATGATGCTGTTTTGTTCATAATTGTTTATGCAATTTACAAAATTATATTTGATTTTTATGAGTTCATTTAGACGTAATGCACATTTTTATAGAGTTACTTGCTAAATGCGCTGCATTATTTTGCTCATTGTGCCCTCGGGAGACAATTAGACATACAATAAAGGCCTATTTAATCTGCATATAAAACATTAGAAATTAGATATTTGTTTAATTTTTATTGTGTTTGATTGTTAAAACAAAAAATATTTGTTGTTTGTCTCAATAAATTGTGTTAATTATCAATATAGTGGTTAAATTTAAATATTTTTTTCTATTGCTTTTTGTTTTAAAAAAGGTTATAAAAAATGTCAATAATTATCGATACCGAACGATATGAAACATTATATCATTGATACATTTTTTAGCTATATCGCCCAGCCCTAATAGTATCTCAAAATAACACTGGAGCCAATGACTGTCTGAATACCTTTCTTGCTTTCTGGAGCTCTGAATTAAACTGATGAACAGAAAATCAAGGAATAAGTTCAGTTTATGTTGTGAACAGGCATTCTGTACCTGCAGGGATGCAAACATGAGCATCTCTTCTTCAGTGCAGTCAATCTCCTCCAGCAGTATCGCCCATCTGGCCTGTTCATACAACTGCGTGATTCTCACAGCATCATACTATGAGAAGAAAAAAAAGCCATACTAATTTAGACAGATCAGGGCCATCTAATTAGGGATGTAACGGTATGAAAATTTCTTATCACGATTATAGTGACCAAAATGATCCCGGTTATCAGTATTATCATGGTATTGTTAAAATGTGCTGGAGATGTTAAAAAAGTAACTGACTATAAATAAAATGACTTTTTGTTTGCATAATCACTAAAACAATAACATTATCAATGATGTTCGGATTTTAAATGACAACTTGACTGATAGCATGTTGAAATATCTAATGTAAATGTTCAAATACATTTCAGCATTTAACTACACATTTCAGCATTTAAACAAAGAAAAGATGTCAAAATGATAATTGATTCATAAATGATTATATATATTTTATCGGCTCCATAAATAATTCTAGATAACTTATCTGAATTGTTTAAATGTGTAGAATTCACATAAGCTTGTTCATCAACCGTTCAAAATTTACAGCAGGGCATGAAAAAACTGAACTGCACACAGGCTGAATGTAAATATAAGTCTCTGTAAATCCACTCTCTGACAGCAGGTGGCGCTTATGGAAAAGCTGAATTAGAGCCGTTTCCCGTAAACTCCATGGACAAAGCAGTATTGCGATTCCTTTAGGTGTTACATGGAGCGAAGATGAAAACAAAATGCCATCGAATTGTTTCTGAAGACAGTCATATAATTAATTAATTCATATTTTCATTTGTATAATTCCCTTAGCACTTTTTTAAAACCTCCCAGCTTTTCCACCCTGTTTTCACTTAAAACGAAACTACTCTGCTGCTGTGCGCACGTGAGACTGTTACTTAAAACTGTGCTTTATGCTGGACATTATTTATTTATCGCGAGTTGTTCAAATCGCGGTAATCTAATACGGTTTTAATGATAATTAAAAGATGAAACGGTAATACTAACTGTGGGGAATTTTATCATGATTTATCGTCAAACCAGTAATCGTTACATCCCTACATCTAATGTTGTCGTTTACAAACATATAACGTGGTATGTAGGAATAGTTAATTTCTCACCTTTGGGTTGAGGTCGAAGAAGCTGTGGTACTTGAATCGCAGCAGGAGTCTGTCGTTTTCCTGAATTCCCTGTTCCATCAGCGAGCGAGAGGAATCCAGCCACCTGCAGAGCAATGTCTCAGTTAAAGTACACAAACGCAACTGATGCATAAAAACAGAAATATATATAACCAATAGACCACCAAATGCCGTGTGCTACAGTGATTTTACCATAGCAAATGGATATTTTTGGGAATGAGGTGAAATATAGCTTGTATAAAACAGTAGAAATAGCAACATGCTAAAACACTTCTTTAATAAATTAAATATTGTATATACTCAAAAAAAAAAAAAGTCAGTACCCTAAAGTACAAAAGCTAAAAGGTACATCTTTGTACCTTATTTACCCCTAAAAGGTACATATTAGTACCTTAAAAGAATGTATTAGTGCCTAAAGTGTACATATTAGTTACCTTTTGAAAGGACACCTCCCCAGTGACTGTTTTGTACCTTTTTTCTGAGTGTACATTTAAAAATAGTAACACAGTCTGTTAGCTCTGCAACTATGTCAACAATGTAACAATCAGAGGTGTAACAATACAAATAGTGTAACTGGTCACAGGTGTGTGGCTACTGTAATGGCTTCGAATGAATGTCCAATCAGATTTTACAAACAAATCTACCAGTGTTAGAATCTGAAATATGAATACAAGATCTATTAAAACAATCATATGCTACAATTCAAAAGTGGAAAGAAATGAATACTTTAATTCCGCAAAGATGTATTACATTGACCAAAAGTGACATTTATAATGTTACGCAAGATTTCTATTTCAAATAAATGTTGTTCTTTCTTGAGCAGCAAATCAGCATATTTCTGAAGGTGACACTGAATGATGCTGAAAATTCAGCTTTGCATCACAGGAATAAATTTATATTAAAATAATTTATGCTGTTATTTAAATGTTTTATTTAATTAATTTAATTTATGCATTTAGCAGACGACTTACAGTGCATATTGTTTAAATAATATGCATTTAATATGTACTGTATTTTTGTGGTCAAATAAAGGCAGCTTTGGTGAGCATAAGAGACTTCTTTTGAAAAACTCTTGCCGATCCCAAATTTTGAATGGTTGTCTAATTTTATCTGTCCTTTCTTACCCAGCATTAATGGAAAGTGACATTTATAATGTTACGCAAGATTTCTATTTCAAATAAATGTTGTTCTTTCTTGAGCAGCAAATCAGCATATTTCTGAAGGTGACACTGAATGATGCTGAAAATTCAGCTTTGCATCACAGGAATAAATTTATATTAAAATAATTTATGCTGTTATTTAAATGTTTTATTTAATTAATTTAATTTATGCATTTAGCAGACGACTTACAGTGCATTCAGGCTATACATTTTTTCCCAGTATGTGTGTTCCCTGGGAATCGAACCCACGACCTTTTGCACTACCACTGAGCCACAGGCACATTTGTTTAAATAATATGCATTTAATATGTACTGTATTTTTGTGGTCAAATAAAGGCAGCTTTGGTGAGCATAAGAGACTTCTTTTGAAAAACTCTTGCCGATCCCAAATTTTGAATGGTTGTCTAATTTTGTCTGTCCTTTCTTACCCAGCATTAATGGCTGCTTTATCCTCCAGGGTAAGAGGCTTGAAGAGTTTGGCCAGTTCCTCTGGTGGAAGGTTGGGTTGGCAGGCCATCAGAGGATTCTCTCCGAACCACAGACTGGTGGAAGATGCAGGCGACCCGCTGTCCGGGTCATAGGTCGGCGTCATAGTTTTACTGTACAGACCCAGGGCTCCTGTACAAAGCATGAATGTAAACTTGTCAATTATTGTTTAAGACTTAAATGTTTATCCGAACACAGCTGTTGTACAATATTTTCTTAAATAAAAAAAAAAAACATATATTACCGTATTGTCCCGAATATAAGAATGTTTTTTTCTTGGAAATACATCTGAAAAAACGCGGTCGTCTTATATTCGGGGTCTAGACTTTGACATGTCAATAATACACCCACAACAATAGGCGGCGCCAAATACGCATAAAACGAGCCATGAAATACGTAATGTAATGCGTGTTGTAAAGATCGCGAGGAAATACAAAAGAAAAAGAAAACCTTACAGCTGCATGAGTCGTGACGGTCACGTTAGCCTGATGGGACCAAACTCTACTTCTACTGTTAATAAGAGTTTGGTAGGCGGGCTCCTGTACAAAGCATGAATGTAAACTTGTCAATTATTGTTTAAGACTTAAATGTTTATCCGAACACAGTTGTTGTACAATAATTTCTTAAATAAAAAAAAAAAACCTTATATTACCGTATTGTCCCGAATATAAGACAATGTTTTTTTCTTGGAAATACATCTGAAAAAACGCGGTCGTCTTATATTCGGGGTCTAGACTTTGACATGTCAATAATACACCCACAACAATAGGCGGCGCCAAATACGCATAAAACCAGTGTGCCATGAAATACGTAATGTAATGCGTGTTGTAAAGATCGCGAGGAAATACAAAAGAAAAAGAAAACCTTACAGCTGCATGAGTCGTGACGGTCACGTTAGCCTGATGGGACCAAACTCTACTTCTACTGTTAATAAGAGTTTGGTAGGCTACTATTAGATGGATAGCCTAAATGTCCTAATTCAGATGGGCTACCTGTTTTTTTTTTTTTAATGGTATATCAAAAAGTGTATATTTTTGAAATGTGATTGTTGGTACATTTGACCAGTTTTTACCATACTTTCAAAACTGAAAATGAAAATTTTGAAAAAAATGAAAATAGGAAAAATATGCAATATGAAAATAATTGAAGACAAAATGTGTTTTACTGAGAAAAAACAAGATTTGGTTTTTAAAAAGCCTTTTTCCAAAAGGTACATCTGGATCATCTTATAATCAGGGTCGTCTTATATTCGGGCCAATACGGTATATGAAGTGTTTAAAATATGTACAAAACATGTAATATTCATTCATAAAATGTTCTATTCAATTTTATTTTATTATAAGATTTCTATCCGGAAGCCTAAATGCATAATGCTTATGTGACTTTTTCTAGTCTGAAATTTAAAGTGAACTTCATTTACTTATGCTGTTTTTTTTTTTATTTAGTTGGTATTTATATATTAGTTTTTTTTATTTTTGAAAGAAAACAATGCATGGTAAAAAGTGTAAGAATGTACATTTATACGAATGGATATATTTTTTTGTTTGTTTATTGGTTATAATGAAATGTTTCATAGAATGCTTATGTGACTTTTTCTAGTCTGAAATTTAAAGTGAACTTCATTTACTTATGCTGTTTTTTTTTTATTTAGTTGGTATTTATATATTAGTTTTTTTTATTTTTGAAAGAAAACAATGCATGGTAAAAAGTGTAAGAATGTACATTTATACGAATGGATATATTTTTTTGTTTGTTTATTGGCTATAATGAAACTTCATATAAGTTTTTCATTGTAATAAAAAAACCACAAAAACAGCAATAAATACCTCCTGCCATGTCCATGTTTAATATGTCATCAAAAGCTGATTCTGTGCCCTTGTCTTTTTTCTTTTTCTTCTTTGGATCATCTGGTGGTTTCAGTAAAGAAAGTTCTTCTGATCTTCTGATGTCTGTCAACAGAGACAGAAAACATACACAGTTTAGTAAAGATTCATGTGCAGAAAGAAATCATGGAAAATTTCATTGCATTTTTTCACACGTAAAAACAAACTAATTGGTAATAAAAAAAATTATGAATCCATAAATACTGTATATTTAAAAAAAATTCACAAAATATTCTAACCATTTTAACATTAAAAACTTATGTATTAAATATTAAATGAATATGTGATCACAAATTTATGTATTAAAAATATTAGTGGGAAAAAAATGATAAATGTTTACTTATAATGACTATAGGAGATGTATCTAAATTGCACAAAATGACAAATCTGTATTACATTTATATGCTTTACATAATTACAATACTTTCATGTTACAAAAATATTATATTAATAAAAATGTATAAGGTAACAAATATTTTCCTCACTGAGTGCTTTGCAGATCTCAGCCACGGCTTTAAAGACCACACAAGAGAAGCTAACAGGGAGCCTGACGGTCTTCATGTTGGGCAGCTGGATGCAGAGGGGTTTGTGTTGGGGAGTGTAGCGCAGGTCAGCGTCCGCCTGGACTCCATACTTATCCAGAGTCCAGTGAGTCTTCAGCAGCCAGCAGCTCTTCTTCTCCCACCAGATGCCGTGATCAGACCAGTCCTGAGGAGCCTCTGAAACACAGAGAACCACAAACTGTGAGAACATGAGCCTGAGACAATTCACGCACATACACAAATATAGAGTGCGTGTCATTCAATGATTCTACAGTAAAACAGATTATTGGAGCAGGCCATCAGTTGCCCTCTTTTTTTTCAAATGTATAGTATTTATATTATTTACTTTATCACATCACCTATAAAAACATCCGTTTTATTACATTTATTTATTTTAATGAAAAGGCTGAAGTGGATTTATTTTATTGGGTTTATGTGGAAAAGTTCTCTTACACTCTAAAAAATGCTGGGTTACATACAACCCAGCGCTGGGTAAAATATGTACAAACCCAGCAATTGGGTTGTGTTTCAAACTACAGTTGTGTTGAATGTTTAACCCAGCAGGCCATCAGTTGCCCTCTTTTTTTTCAAATGTATAGTATTTATATTATTTACTTTATCACATCACCTATAAAAACATCCGTTTTATTACATTTATTTATTTTAATGAAAAGGCTGAAGTGGATTTATTTTATTGGGTTTATGTGGAAAAGTTCTCTTACACTCTAAAAAATGCTGGGTTACATACAACCCAGCGCTGGGTAAAATATGGACAAACCCAGCAATTGGGTTGTGTTTCAAACTGCAGTTGTGTTGAATGTTTAACCTAACCTTATGTGCAGTAACCCAACCGCTGGGTCAAAACAACCCAATCGCTGGTTTTGTCCATATTTTACCCAGTGCTGGGTTGTATTTAACCCAGCATTTTTTAGAGTGTACTGTAAAGACCTAAAACACCAATTTCAATTCAGCATTTAGTTTAAACAGGTCAGTATTTATAATTGCGTATAATTGCAAGTGCTGTTGTTGTTAACTAAACCTATTAAAAATAAATGTTGAAATGTCACAGATTTATTTCAAAAATAAATAAATAAAGCTGAAATGAAATAAAACATAACTAAAAGCTTTTAAAATGAGCAGTGCCTTGGCAACTAACTGTTGAAGTAATACAATTAACAAAAGCTAAAAAAAAAGATTTTTTTTAAATGAAATAAAAATGACAAAAGCACATAAACATGACTAAATCCTAAATAAAGCTAAATTATTTATTTAAAAACTTAGGCAAAAACATAACAAAATTTCGAAAAAATTATTTAAACTGAAAATATAAAAAAAGCTGTCCCGAATATTATTAAATAACACTGTTAACTGCTATCTTCAATTATTTTGCCCATGGCAGAATAGGACTTTGAACAACTGCTTTATAGATGAAGTTTACTATTATATTAAAGAGGTGAACTGGAACATATTTATGTGGAGTGTTTTAATGTGTAGTTAAACTACAACCATGACGTTACACCTGAATAAATCAGTTCAAACCAGTCGTCCATGAGTAACACAAACATGTCTGATGACATCCCAATTCCATAGAAACCTTGATGATTCCTCTTTTACTCACATTTCCTTCAACCTTCTGCAGTGATCATCATCTGACTCACTCCTGTAATTACCTACTAAAGAAATCTTGGGCTGTCTGTACTATAATACACCTATCAGGTTGACTATAAACACAACATAAACACAACCAAATGAATGAATGGCCCCAGCCAATAAAAGACCTTCATGGCAAACCATAATATTTAGCAACTGAGTCATCTGATGAGTCTGTAGAGGAAAGCAGGATGATTTGCTAATGTTTCTCAGGCTGACACAGTCACACAGTGAACTTCAGACCCTGCGTCTGCAACCAACACCTGAGTCAAAGAACAATAGCTCTGAGCACGAGCCTATAGAAAGATACGCAAGGCAAACATGGGCGAACCTGAGCATTTCAACCACACTCTAGAACGGCACTGGGAGTTTAGCTTTTACCCAGCAAACAAAGATGTGTTCTAGGAACGTTATTCTAATGTTTCCATTAAGTTTCAAAATGTCATGTCTCTAAACATTCAAAATATTACGTTTTTAAAACGTTTTCTTGCTTATAAAATGTTGAGCGAACTTTTCATTCTATCAGTTTGCAAACATTATGGGAACGTTAAATGTCCTGAATAAGTAGTAACATTTTAAAAATGTTAGACAAATGTCTAACTAAAATGTTTTAGAAGAAAAACATTCCATGAACGATGTATAAATAATGTTTTTGTGCTAACATTTTTGAGAACATTATCAAAGACCAGGGGCCTCATTTATAAAACGTTGCGTATAAACCGTCCTAAATTTGTTCTAAGATCATTTCTCAAAAGTGCATAAGTGCGATTCAGAGAAAACGAATGTGCGCACAAAAACACGTGCGTACGCCTCTCTTCCAGATGTGATGTTTATAAATCGCAAATGATCTTGAAATTGTGCGCAGCCTTGTAAACGCCTTGTAAACGCCCCCTAATTAATATCATTACCATATAAAAGAGCACACGCCAATATCCGAATTTCTATGCTTGAGTATAAACCGTCCTAAATTTGTTCTAAGATCATTTCTCAAAAGTGCATAAGTGCGATTCAGAGAAAACGAATGTGCGCACAAAAACACGTGCGTACGCCTCTCTTCCAGATTTGACGTTTATAAATCGCAAATGATCTTGAAATTGTGCGCAGCCTTGTAAACGCCTTGTAAACGCCCCCTAATTAATATCATTACCATATAAAAGAGCACACGCCAATATCCAAATTTCTATGCTTGAGAATGACGAGCACAAGCATAGAACACAAGCACGAGCACAAAGAAAAAAAAATTTGAGGTCCTGCTGGCGGATGTAGAGGTTCGTGTGGGGACGCTTTTTATTTAATAATGTGTAATTATTCTGTGGACAAACAATGTGTGTGTGGTTACATTTTTATCTGTTGACTATTATCAAAATGACTACTTCTAGAAACAACAGAAATAATAATAATAATAATAATAGTAATAGTAATTATAAAACAATTAGGTTTCCAAAAGTAAGAATAAACTACGAATTCAAGTAAAATTTTCAGTCATCTTATAAAAAGTGAGCCATCCTACTTTTAAAACCACTTGACAACTAATAAAAAGTTTAATATCATGAAATTCTTGCAAAACTTTAAAAAACATTATTGAGAGAAAAACTGGACGTTTCATATCATAATAAAATAAATTATTACACGATTATGGTCTCCAGTCTGAAAAAACCTGCATGTGATTTGGCATTTCTTTATATTTACACAGTTTACTAATGCTGCTCAAATGTG